AAAAAAAAAGCCAGAAGTGGCACTGTGGCTCAAGTGGTAGAGCACTAGCCTTGAGCTGAAGAGCTGAGGGACAGTGCCCAGGCCCAGAGTTCAGGCCCACGACCATATCCAAAAAAAAGAGCAACAGCTCCACTTTCAATTTTCTGGTGGCCAATTGGAAATAAGTTTCACAGCCTTTCCTACCTAGGTTGTCTTTGAGCCATGACCCTCAGATCTCAGAGTCCTAAATAGCTAGGATTATAGATGTGAGCCACCAGCACCTGGCTTTATTTTTTCTTGTCTTGTTTAGTAGCCCAGGCTCAAGCTTCCAGTTAAGCCTCCCAAGTGCTGGGATTACAGGCTTGTGCCACTATAGCTCATTTCTTAAAACAAAAGGCAATTTACTATAAAGGTTGACAAAGATGCCTACAATGGTGATTTCATTTGCTTCCAGCTCAAGGCAGGCCCAGGCTTGGCAGCAGTCACTGAGCTGCTTGCACTCCCAGCCAGAAATGACCCTGGGCCTTAGACCCTTCATCACTAACCTCTTGTCATAATTCTTGCAGGTTGGACACAGAACTGGCCTTGTGTGTGAGATCTTCCACAACTCTGCCCAGCTCCCTGTGTCTCCAGGATTTACCTTGTGGCTGGTTAGGGTAATCCCTAAGTATCACTCCACATGTTTTTCTAGTACCTTGAAGGTCACGAGGCACAGTGAGCCAGAAGCAGGAGCCAGGTGGACATGAGCTCCACTGTACCTGTGGCTGAACTGGTCTCAAAAAGATAACCTGTGCCAGGGCTGGTGGTCACGCCTGTAATCCCAGCTACTTAGGAGGCTGAGATCGTGGTTCAGAGCTAGCCCAGGCAGGAAAGGCTGCAAGACCCTTAAATTAGTTACCAAAAAAGCTGGAAGTGGTGCTATAGCTCAAGGGGAGACTGTTAACCTTGAAACAAAAACAGTGCCCAGGCCCCAAGTTCAAACCTCAGGAAGGGGGAAAAAATAAGACAAAATATTTTCAACTGGATGTTTACAGGTCATGGGTCATGAGTAGAACCCTTATGTTCTGTATATGCCCTTTGTCAGTATATAATTTGCAAAAATTTTCTATATAGTGGGCTGCTGTTTCATATTCTTGGTGGCACTGTTTGATGTACAAAAGTTGGGCTGGGGGCTGGGAAGGTGGCTCAGTGGTAGAGCACTTGCCTTGCATGCCTGAGGCCCTGGGTTTGATTTCTCAGCACCACATAAGCAAAAAGAAAAAAAGCCAGAAGTGGCGCTGTGGCTCAAATGGTAGGGCGCTAGCCTTGAGCTGAAGAGCTGAGGGACAGCGCCCAGGCCCAGAGTTCAGGCCCCACAACCGGACCCCCCAAAAAAAAAAAGTTGGGCTGGGAATGTGGCTCAGTGGTAGAGCGCTTGCCTAGCATGCATGAAGTCCTGGGTTCGATTTCTCAGTACCACATACACAGAAAAAGCCAGAAGTGACACTGTGGTTCCAGTGTTGAGTCCTAGCCTTGAAAGAAAAAGCTCAGGGACAGTCCCCAGGCCCTGAGTTAAAGCCCAAGAACTGGCAAAAAAAAGAAAAAAGTGTTGCTGAATTCCAGTTTATTTTCTGTGTGTGCGCACGCACACGCACGCACACACATGCACACACAGGCTTGCCTTTGGTGCTAAATTATGGTGCCCAGCCCAGGTCACAACAGCATACCCCTAGCTTCCACGAGTTCTACAGTCCTAGCTTACATGCATGGATGCAGCCCTAATCTACTGGGTTTAAAATAGTGTAAGGAAGGATTTTAATTCTGATATGCATGGATATCCAGTTCTCCAACAGCCACAGTTTAAGACCATTGTTTTCCCAAGGAAGGGTCTTGACACCTTGCTGAAAATGAGCTGTACTAATAGAAAGATTGGCTCCTAGAGGCTGGACCCCACTCCCCTGATAAATCTTGGACACCGTAGATTGTTGTAAAAAGTCATACAATTGGTAAGTATTAATGTTTTTCTTTTTCTTTTTTGCTCCTGCTTTTTCTGTGTATGTGGTACTAAGGAATCGAACCCAGGGCTTCATGCATGCTAGGCAAGCACTCTTACTACTAAACCATATTCCCAGCCTTGTGCGAATGTTTTTATTTTTTGGTGCCAGTACTGGGGCTTGAATTTAGGGCCTCACAATCTTGGTTCTTTTTCGCTTAAGGCTGGCCCTCTACCACTTGACACACACCTCTCCTTTTGATCTGACCTGATTAGTCTCAGATCCAGGCTGATCTCAGCCTCCTGCATTGCTAGGATCACATGCAGCCATGAACCTGCAGCACCCAGCTTTTTTATTTTGTTTTTTTCAACCTGTTCTGAGTCCCGTGCATTACACATCCATTTTAGGACCAGCTGGAGGATTTCTACAAGACAGCTGGAAGCCAGGCACCCATGGCTCACGCCTATAATCCTAGCTACTCAGGAGGCTGAGAGCTGAGGATCATGATTCAAAGCCAGCCTGGACATAAAAGCCCATGGAACTCTTATCTTCACTTAACCAGCAAAAAGCTGGAAATGGAGGTATGGCTCAAATGGTAGAGTACCAAGCTTGAACAGAAAAGCTACGGGAGAGCTCAAGACCCTGAGTTCAAGCCCCAGGTCTGGAACGACAACAAGAAGAGACAGATAGAGACTGGTTAGTTTGTGTGTCCTCGGTCAACCAGGGTACTGACACCACAGCAGCAGCAGGGCCCTGGTCTAGGACAATGTCTCATCACTTGTTCATCTTCTACTTACTCCCCACACAGTTTTCCAGCTTCACTATGAGTCACAGTCTAGTGTGGCTCACCTTGTACACACAGTGCACACTACTTGTGTTAAATGAAAACTGCTACAGATCCCTCTCAACTGAGTCCCAGGCTCCAGGGCATCTTCACCCGGGTCCACCATTCTGCAAAGTCCTCCCAGAGGCCCACACACCCAGTCAAGGCCTGTGGGTGCAGAGCCTATTCCCCGAGGGGGAGGCTCTGGAGGGTGACAAGGGCACAGGTCTCCCTGAGGGAGGTCTCTGGGAGGGGAGGAAGGCACAGGGAGGTGCTCTCATGGAGTAGCAACCTTATAAAAGGGGCTGAAGGAGCATGTCCTTCCTTCCACCACGCAAGGACACACAGACTGTCTATAAAGGACATTCCTGTCCACACTCCCAACTCCACATCCTTGATCTTGGACTTGCCTGTCTCCAGGGTGTGGACAATATATTTTGGTTGTTTAGTTAGGGCAGCCCTATAATAGTCTAAGACAAAAATTGATATAGGGAAGTAGAGTGTTGCCACAACAAATTCTTAAGAGGGTGGAAGAAGCTTTGGGACTGAGAGATGGATAGGGAGGCTATAAAGGTTTGCGATTCACTGCCCATGAAAGGGGGTGTAAGCAAGGAGCTCTGGGGGAAGCTCAGAAAGAGTGCTACCGAAAGTCTAATCTCAGAGACTTCCTAGGAGGTCATGAACAGAATGCTAGCAGAAAAAAATGTGGTGAAGGATGTTCTGATGTGATCTCAGACAGAAAGGAGGAGTATGTTATTAGAAGCAGGAGGAAAGGTGATATTTACTATTACGTGCCAAGAACTTGGCTAAAGAAACTTTGTGTCCAACTGTTTTATGGGAGTTCTTCTAAGTGACAAAATAGGGTACCTGACAGAAGAAATCCCTTAAGTGGAGCTCTGAGAGGGCTCATGGCCCTCTTGACTGCTTGCTGTGGAATCCAAAGAGAAAAGTGAGTTAATGGTGAAATTTATAGTCAAAGGGGCAGTACAAGTCAGAGACCAGTGGCCATGCCTAGAATCCTAGCAATTCGGGAGGATGAGTAGTTTGAAGACAGCCTGGGCAGAAAAACCCATGAGATTTTTTTTTTTGTCGTGGGGCTTGAACTCTGGGCTTGGGCGCTGTGCCTCAGCTCTCCAGCTCAAGGTGAGAGCTCTACCACTTGAGCTACAGCGCCACTTCCAGTTTTCTGATGGGTAACTGGAGATAAGAATCTCACAGACTTTCCTGCCCAGGCTGGCTTCAAACCCCGATCCTCAGATCTCAACTTCCTGAATGTGACCCACCGGTGCCCGGCCTTCCATGAGATTCTTATCTCTAATTAACCAACAAAAACCTGGAAGTGGAGCTACGGTTCAAATGGTAGAGCGCTATCCTTGAGCAAATCACTAAGGGTCAGAACCAGGCCCTGGGTTCAAGCACCAGAATTGGCATACACACACAAAAAAGAACCAATTCAAAAACATGTAACACTTTTGGCTGGGTCACCTATGCTAAGTTGCTAGCAAACAGGACCTGCTTGGGAGTACCACTATTCAATCACAAGACAACTATGGCTGTGTCTGGGAGAACACCGAGGCTGTGCTGAGTGAGAGCAGTAAGCACAGGAGAAAGCCAGAGCCATTCTATAGGAAGAAAGGAGAATGGCCCCAAAGACAGCTCAGCCTCTCATGCTGCCCTGCCAGTTACAGGCCTCCAGCGCACGGGCTTTCAAGCCCTCCTCCCGTGTTCTCACGCACTGTTCCTTGGGTACCCAGCTGCAACTCTAAGGGGCTCAAGTATGGTTAACCTCTGCTACATCTCCAACTCTAGAGCTGCAGTTTTGGCCACCTCTGCCTAGTTTCACAGGATGCGCTATTTCATATTTCAGGCTCAGCCCTGCCATGGAGGTAGAACCGCGGCAGAGCCACTACGTCTGAAGGGAGCTGTGGAGGAAAGGAAAGGTGCGCTAGCAACCTCGCTAGCAAACAGGACCTGCTTGGGAGTACCACTGTTCAATCACAAGGTAACTAGTGTAAGACTTGACGCCAGGCCAACCATTCGAGCAAGGTAGGCTGGTGGTGCCCCCAGAGGGGTTACAGGTCCAGCAGGGTTGAGAAGCACCTCCTCCACACTTGCTCCTGAGAAGAGCAGCCAGAATGCGAGTGCTTAGGGCTGAGTTCAAACTCTGCTGCTATAGGGCATAGCCCTCATGTGTGCAGATGCAGAACTACTGGGGGAGGGGAGGAGCTTTGTCAGGTGACAGTGCTGTTTTGGGGTAAAACAAGTACCTTCTCTCACCGTAGCTCCAGAATCATGACTGCTCTAAAAATGCCAAGGTTATTTTTCTTTTTTTGGGGGGGGGTCCAGTCGTGGGGCCTGAACTCTGGGCCTGGGCGCTGTCCCTCAGCTCTTCAGCTCAAGGCTAGCGCTCTACCACTTTAAGCCACAGCGTCA